CAAAAAAAAAGCAAGGATGGCCAAAAGCACAGTGTTTTAAATTCTATTTCTGCAGTACTGCCAATTCAATTTTGTCACAACTCCTGCCATGAAATTTTCTATTACATGTTGAATTTCTGCAGTATCTTAAGAAAGACGTTCTACCTACATCTTCCATAACCAGTGTGGTGGAGTCAGTGCTCTCAGAGAAGATAGTACTGTACTAAAAACTAAGACTGACTCTTCAAGCAAAGTAGCTCCTGTAGCAATAACCTTAACAGTCCAGGTAGATAAAGCATGTACCTGATCTTCTACAGGATTAGCAAACCTTCAGTTTTACAGATCACATCAGCATTTATTGATTAGCAGCATAACTGCTACCGCGTAGTCTGAAATATTGCAGGACAGCAAAAAATACTTCCATTTTAAATAAAGTGGACCTTGATTCAAGGAAGGTCAGGGCAATGTGCCAAGAAACTGAGCTATGAGTTCAGTACAATCATTATATCCACTTCCACTGATGAGGGAGAATTCCAGAGTTTTGGACTATAGGCATGAAAATGCATCAGGAATGAATTCAACAAGTTCTGAGACAGAAGGAGAGAAGTAGAAATGAAAAGAATGATTGACACATTCAGAAAAGAGGGTAAGGTGGTAGAAGATACTCTTTCCATCTTATTTTACCATCGCACGGGAAATACACAAAGAAACAAGGGAAACGGTTGGCTTAATGTGAACAAATGGAAGAAGATTCTAAAAACGGATGAGAAACAGTTAACCAGCTGTGTTTTTGTATGCATACTAAATGTGTCATCTGTAAAATAAGCAGTCTTTATCCACATGTAGGTAAATTCAGACGAAAAACTCCTCTTTCAAATTCAATCTTAGCTCAACAGTTCATAGTTCTAGTAGCTCCCTTGACTCACCAGGAGAAGAACTAAAGACTTGCCTACGTAACCAACTGAACAGTCAGTCTTCATTACCCCAGTTACTGCAGTGATGCTCAGATAGCTGAGCGTCACTGGCACTATGGTAAAGCTCTTTGCCATTACTCTATTCTCCGAAGAAATACTGATGACACTCCATTCTACTTATTTAGTATTTATCTCTTTAATTACAATGTAAGTAGGTGTCAGTCACCTCAGAAAAAAAACAACAGGAGCACTGCTTGACCTGCATTGTTACTATTAACACCTGAACATTAACGCCAGAAGTTTACCTCCCAAATACTCCCATACCTTGGAAGAGGATAATGTAAGTCAAAAGCTCCTGAAGGTTGCAACTTTTCTACCAAATGTATTTCACTCTCATTTCTTTTTAAGATCACATTCAACAGCATAGACAAAATAAGTTTTTGGAATTCATACAGTTAGTAAGCACTGAGGGCTTGCGGTAAGTGCTATTGCTTTAGGACACAAGAAAACAAAGATACAGCATTTCATTCAGTAAGAATTTTGTTCAGTCATTACCTGACCCTAATGCACACACACAAAATTTTTTTTAAGGCCGAAAACTTTAAAGGAAGGAAAAACATGCTTGTACAGCTGAAAGGTCACTGTTTGCCACATACAATAAAAGGCAGCTTCTGCTCATCACCAAACAGCACGTTCCGTGATTTAAGACATTACTGATCCAGAAATCTGGGAGTTGCCATTAGTGAAAGAAATTTGGAATGTATTATGCACAGCTGCACAATTCCAAGAATCCCAGCAAGGAGGAATAAGAAAAGAATAATCAGGTACAGTATGGAAATAGTGATGCAGATTTCAGAAGATTTTGATCTTGTCTGGTGACCCTGTTATCGCCCCATTCACAGCTGCCCCTGTACCAGTCTGTAAAGCTACACCATACATCAAGAGACAAGACTCTCCCTGGTTACCAAAAAAAAATGCTTTGCGTGCACATCATCTGAATTTATCCAACTTCCAGAGATACTCTACTATACTCTCCTTCATTTAGAAACCGATCATTTTTCTGAACAAAAGTGTTTCTAAAACATTCAGCTCATTCAGTATCTTCGGGATCAATTAAAGGTACAGATTTTCAGTCCCATGACATTAAACCATTTTCTTCAGTTCTAAGCAATTTATTTGTTTTTCTCCATGATCTCCCAAGGTATCTTGAATGCTTTACAAAGAGGTAAAAAAAACACTTCCTCTACAGGAGACATATGCACGCCATTTTCATGCAGCCTTGAACTGGGAATTAGCAGGAAGCTGCTTGTCTGCTTTAGCTACTTAAAACTTACCTGCCTTTCTAAGAGAAATGTAACCTTGTGGGACTACACAGAAACAAGCTTTCCTTTTCCATCTAAAATTTAGATATTTTTAAACAAAAGAACTTTGCACTCTCTCACCACAGCTTCATGCAACTAACACAAAGTAGCGCATTCCTTCCTTGCGTTCTCATGCCCAGATGGGGGAAAAAAAAAAAAAAAAAAAAGAACTCAAAAATAGATCTGGCACCATTTAAAGTAGAAAAGTTTCCCAGAACAGGAAAGGGAAAACAGGACAACAGCTATTTCCACATTCCAAGAACGTAAGAACCAAAGCTTAGACTGTACAGTTGGATTAGATGATCTTAGAGGTCTTTTCCAACCTTAATGATTCTAGGATTCTATGATTTACAAAAAATAGTTTTAATACACTGAAATCCAGATTTGCATCTTCATTCACAGAAGCTCTGACAAGAAAATGCTGTTTTCTTCATACATCACAGCTAGAGTAAACATGGATTTTTTTTTGATTGCTGAGTTTTCCTCACTATGTCTCTGTGACCTAAAAATTGATACAAATCTGATCTCTGCATTAACTGTGTTCTATGGTTCCTTTTTATTTGAGTTTTGTGTTTGTTTGTTTTTGTGTTTTTGTTTTTGTTTCTAAAGGGAGAAAGTTGCATTTAGTACAGAAGTGGCACCTCCTCTGTCCTTCCTTCCCCTCCCTCCTACTAAGCTTTTATCAAAGTGGCTTTTGCTTTCTCTAGCCCCAGCATTAAGAAGGTAAGTTAGTTTTTCTGGATGAAATTGCAGAAGTTGTATTCCATTCATGGATTTTTGTTCTTTTGTGATGTATGACAGAGAACCAAATCTAAAATGGAAGATTATATCCAAGATATTTGTATGAACCTCATTACAAGAACAGTTAAGTACCCAATAAACTGGAATTTGTATTTCCATTAAATTTATTGAAACTTGAAGTTCTGCTACTCCCCATCTTATAGACAACAGCTGCAGCACTGAAGGACTAAATAAAAAAGATACACTAAAACAAAATAGTATCAAAAACCTTCTCCATCTCTGCTATCAAATTCCATGTGTACATGCGATGATACTTTTAGGAACTCTTTTCACTCATTTCCTGTCAGTTCTTCTTCAAGGAACTTGCTTTTGTGTCTTTTCAAACGGCCAACTCTTTTGCAAGCTACTTGTTCAAAACTTTGCAAAAGGTTACAATCTTCTCAAGAACCCCAGTAAGGCATGGAAATCTTCACTGAGGAAAAATCAGATTCCAAGCCTAATTCTGCTAAAACTCTGCTTTAGAGGTTGCTCCAGGGCTTTACTCATGGTTTAATTGTCAGGACACCCCTTTGTAACCAGGAATAATTTGCAGTCACGTAAGCAATCTAGTATTTTAATTAAAACATCCATTAATATTACACATTCGAGGAAGGATTCTATTTCAACAGCACATCATCCTTAGAATTACAGTGCAG